ATTCTCAATACAATCAGCTCTAATGAAGACACTCGGGTTTTTTTTCCTATAAGCATCCTATAAGTATAAGCGTTTTAAACTGTAGGTAAACCTGTAGCTCCATATGAACCCAAAGAGAGACACTGTAGGTAAACCTGTAGCTCCATATGACCCCAAAGAGAGAAACTGTAGGTAAACCAGTAACTCCATATGACCCCAAAGAGAGAAACTGTAGGTAAACCAGTAACTCCATATGACCCCAAAGAGAGAAACTGTAGGTAAACCTGTAGCTCCATATGACCCCAAAGAGAGAAACTGTAGGTAAACTAGTAACTCCATATGACCCCAAAGAGAGAAACTGTAGGTAAACCTGTAACTCCATATGACCCCAAAGAGAGCTATCAATGCGCCCTAGATTAAAAATACGAGGAAACGAGATAACAGATAAAACACATTTTTTTCCCATGATTGTGTGTATTTTTAAGACACAAAAACACACGGCAATCTTGTTTGCACGGTAAAATAAGCATGTTCAGGCAAGCCGGTTGGTGTTAGCCAGTGGTGTGGCTAAAGGGTTAGTGCCACCTGGGGCGGGACAAGATTTTTTCGGCCCCACATTTCACGAAAAGTACTCTGCAGTTGGAAGAAAAATGTTACCCCTCATTGTCACGAAAAAAAGTGCCGCCTAGGGCAGTAACCACCCACGCTCCAACAAGTTATTTTCCTACACTACTGGTGGTAACACATTGTTCGTATCTTCATTGTAACAGTGGTTTTAGAGTCTCCTGCTTTCAAAAGACTTCAAGTCCTTAGATCGTTGTTTCTTAAACATCTTCATTATCAGTGATGCAACAACCCATGTATAGGGAGGGCCCTGGCCGGCCCCAAGGCATCGCTCCATTCGGATCGCTCCATGGATTTCCGCCTTCAGTGCAATCTGCCTATTTGTAAACCGTTGTGACTTTGGATGGGTCATCCAACAATGGATACATCTCTTGGTTTCTACGAATGCTCCATCCGCCATCGTCCATCACCGGACCACATATTTTTCTGAGGATTTTCTTCTCCAAAGTATTGAGCTGGGATCAAAATAATCAAATATACAAGAATTCTTTGTAGTCTACACCGGTTAGCACCATCTACAGCAGTGTTTCTCAATATGGGCCATATGGTTCCCAAGCATATTTAGTAGGGGCCCGAAAACTTTTTAAAAAATGGCTATTGGTATATATAAAATAGCAGTTCCTTTAATGTCAATAGCAGGCAGATGCAGTGTCGGAGCTAGGGTGGGTGTCACCCGGTGCGTTAAACTCATGATGTCCCCCCCCCCCCAACCTTCCCCGAGGGATTTCTTCTTGTAAGTATAAGTCCACAGTATAAAAATGACAAGATCAAAAACAAAATGATTGAATGTCAGGAGGTAAAGTATTGAAGAACTGTAACACGTACTTAGAATCGACCGACCACATGGTAGTTAGTATAAAGGGAAAGCTTTATGTCTCAGAATTTAGATAAATATAGCTCGCTGTCACTTGCAAAAGTTACTGAGCACTTCAGTCGGCGTTAAATCATAGTCATAAACGTTGTTTTTTTACTAACCTAATTATACAGCAGGCATCACCACTGAAATTAAGGTCGGTGAGGAAAGAGTAGAGACTGTCTGCCGCTTCAAATACCTAGGAGCAATAGTCTCAGAAGAAGGCTCCAAGCCCGAACTGATGTCCAGGATTGCGCAGACTAC